TACATGCCGGCTGAGTTCGAGGCGCACCCTGTGAGCCCGTGGATGCAGATCTTCCAGAACGCCAAGTCCTTCTGCGAGGATCAGTAAGTGTCTGCTTTAGTTACCATCGCTTCAAACAGCAACAACAAACTTGCATTAGAGGAGCATTATCACTTGAAAAATCCATGATGCATTGGTATTTGTATAATCTAACTGCCGTTAACACGTACAGAAGATAACAACTTGGTTCATCTCCATAGACTGCAGTGTACGTTGATACACCGGAACATCAGAGCGTTGTTTCTTGAACGGGTGGAATGGACGACTTGTTTCCTTCATACCTAGTCTCATGCCTCCGCATCCATGCAGCTCTTATCAGTTCTTAGCGATGTTTTCATTTTTATTTGGTCTACTCTTTTCAGCTTGTTGCTTCAAGCCAGCAAATTGCTTGGTGGCGTTTGCACTCACGTTTTCGTTTTCAAGACACGTCGTCGGATGCTTTAATACGTTGACTTGTTCCTTGGCTCATCACGATGAATGACCCAAGCGCATTGTAACACAATATTAGGGTGCTTGCGTATCTGAAAAGAAATAAACTTTACGATACTAACGTGGTTATCGCGTGATTTCTGCATTCGCACAAGTCAATTTTCGACTTTAAGCCATAGTTATGAAGGACAGCATCGACACGAACATACATTTTACTTGAAATAACAGCATTAAATGGTGTATGGATTCCAAATAATCCTTGGCGTGGCTTGCCTTCTTTTACAGTTTCCATTCCAATAATTCGACATCATCAGAATTCGCAAACGGTAAGGAACTCTTGTACGAATTTCTTAGCCGCATCGATTGCTCCCAATTCAAAAATTTCTCTTCGCATAACTTACTACGAGTGCAGTTTCCAAAGTCGATCGTTCCCACTAGCTGCAAAACATCTTGGTGTCCGACTTCCACAGCAATCATTACTATTATATCTGCTTCAGTGTGTTCGACACATTCTCGCTTTCGACAATAAGATGATCTTATTGTCGAAAGCGAGAATGAGTAGATCTTATTAAGATCTACTATCACCCTAGCAGACCGCACGGAGCTGCCTTCCAGAACCGCATCAAATGGTTCCCACTTCTTGTCGTACAAAAAGCTCAACAAACCGGTAATCTTTGGATGGGTAATTGAGGTGAATGCATCACATAATATGTGTATGATAATACATGTAGGATATTATCCTATCAAAACGAACGCGGGATCACTACCCAGAAGTTTCACGACTTCTCGTAAGGGCATAGCACCCGGTTATCGCGCACATAAGCGGAAAATTCGATTTTGAGTCAAATATCAAGCCAATCGCGCTGCAACAAGTTTGACGTGAAAGGACTGTGTTTTAGCTATCTGTAGAAGTAAGCGCGCGGGTAGAGCATTTGATTTAACGACGCAAAACGAATTGTTCGAAGGTACATGAAATGAAAGTTGTGAAAACTGCCTGCTAATTATCGCGCAACCAGTATAGCGAAACTAAGTCAAACTCAACAAATCCCAAAATCGGTGACCGAAGACGACATCAACTGCACAAACGACTCCTGGTGAGCTGTGTAGTTCCCGTCGCCTGGATCATACGATAGAACTGCATTTCCTGCATCCAATCGTGCCTCCGTTGTCCCTGTAGTATACGCAGGGGCTGAAATATCGGTCGTCAAACTCGGAATCTCCACCATCTGGCCGATGTTGAAGTTGCAATCTTGACTATCATCTACACTAATTGAAGTGGGGTTTTGCTTCCTCGGACGAGTGTTTCGGCGTTTTCGCTTGGGCTTCGGGTCTTGATCGGTTGCCTGGTGTTTGGCAAGAGCCTTTGCCTTCATTTTAGCGTCTCTCTCTTCTGCTTTTTGCAGTTCAACTGCTTGCCGAGCTGCCTTTTTAGCTTCGCGCTCACGCTTACGCTCTAGTATTGCACGTTCCTTTTCTTGCTTGCGCTTTGCTGCTTCCTGCTTTCGCTCAGCCTTTTGCCGCATCTTGTCTTCCTTCTCGCGAGCTTTTAGCCTAAATTCAGCGATACAATCATCATGCGTTAACAGTCTTTTTGCTGTCATGTTGATGAAGACGTGGTTCTTA